TAATTAATCTAATGCTGAATAGTAAAACTATTTATGTGAATCTCATTGCTTCACTGAATCTACTCTAGTTGTCACTAGGGACCTCATCACAAAGGTCCATGAATTCGCCACACATCATCCTGGCAGGGGGCATGGAGAACCTCTTGCTCCACACCCCATATTGTGTGATTCATCTGGGCCCCCATTCCATGGGGGAGGGGACATCACTGCCCAGCTTTCCCTTATTGTCTTGAAGGCAACACGGGAAGCTTCCAGTGTTGCAGTGGCATAGGCTGCTTGCTCTACCCTTTCCCGATGGAGCCCAGCTAGAAGTACATCTGCATTGTGTAATGGGCTCCATCCTGAAAGGGGAGAACAAGCAGTGTATGGCGGAGAAACGAAGCCCGTCTGATGAGGTTGTCAGAGTTGCATTTCAACTAGCTCTTTCAGAGCCATAGAATTTTAGAAGTGCTATAGCATTGTTGGCAGATAGCCATCCACACTGGTGACCTTAGGGTTGTACTTCTGTAATGCACTTTACATTGGGCTACCTCTATCAAGTTCAGAAATTCCAGTTAGTTCAAAACAAGACAGCCAGACTAGTTACAGGAGTAAGCATATTATACCTATTCTAATGTCAGTCCACTGGTTGGCAATTATTTTCTGGGCAAAGATCAAAGTATTTATAGCCCTACATGGTTTGGGTCCAGGTTACCTACAGAATCGTCTTCTCCCTTACAATCTGCCACAAACACATAGGTCCTCTTGGGGGGGGGGGGGCTACTCCAGTCAGCCAAAACCTAACTGGCAACCATCACCCAGAAGACTTTTTCATCAGCAGCCCCAGGACTGTGGGAAAACCTGCCAGAAGAGATAAAACAGCTAAATCAGTTGTCAAGACACAACTTAAGATCTGTCTCTTCCAGCAAGCCTACATAGTCATTGTTAATTTGTGAAATTAACCTACATTTTATCCGTAAATTTTATGCTACATTTTACCTATGTGTATTTATTATATGTATTTTAATGGTGATTTGTTCTAGCTCATTGTCCTGCCTCAAGCCACAAGAATTATTACCATCATCCAGTGTTTGTTTTTAAACTTCCAACAAAAGAGGTTTTTAATCCAGGTCACATCTACATTGACTCTTTATCCTGCAACCAACATGGAGTGTCAATTTCCAGATCGGCAAAATGATGATTTTGACTCCTAGCCTCTGGCCACTATAGAGGTGGAAAGGAGTCCTAACTGTCCAGTGGCACCAAACCCAATTAATCATTGCTGGATAGCACCCTTATTGTCCCCCTCCTGTTCTTGTTGTAGCAGTGCCCAACATGTGCAACATGGCTAGTGTCCATGGCTCATTCTGGAACGACATTGGCATAGGCAAGGAAAGGGAAGAGGAGGAATTTCCTTCTCCCCCCCCCCCCCCAAATCATCCTTGTGCCACAGCTGAGTAATTTCAGGTAATGTCCGACAGACACTAGCCATGTTGCACCCACTGACTGCCACTATGATGATTTAATTGGAGGGAGACAATGAGTGCCATCCCATGTTCCTGGGCCACCTGAGCCAAGGGAATAAAGGACAGCTATGTAAACAGTTGTGACCATTTCCATCAAAGAACTAGCCCAATTATTTACATTAGCCCAAACATTCAGATTGCTCTAGATTCTCAAAGAAAATTTAGACAACCGTCAACTTTTGTTAATGTGGTTCAAAACCACATTAAAAGTGTTGACCCCTGTTAACTCAAATCAGCTTCATGAATCATGCTGCTGCCACATAGCTGATTTGCCCCCCTACCCCTGTTTGATATAATAGGTCTGTGTTGATGTGCCCAAGACTGGATGTATGTGTTTAATTTTCAAATATGTCATGAGAGATGGATCAGAACGGTGCAAGTAGTTTGAACCTTGGTCTTCCCAGACTAAGTTCAACACAAATAAAGCTTTTTTTAACATATGAAACTAGAATCCAAAATAGAGAAGTTAATCAAGTGAAATAACTGAATGACCTCCTTGAGTGATCATATAACAGGGATATGAAATCATAGATGAAGAGAAATGTGTTTGAAACATGGAAGAAAAGGAGGTTAATTTTAATACGGAATGCATTTAGCTTCAGGTGATGGCTATAAAACTAACTCTGTGAAAAATATCCTCTCTTGAATCTTAAATTTACTTGAAATATTTGGACTATTCATCCACAAATGTCTGATGGTGATCTCTGAAAGCAACTCATGGAAACACAATGAGATTTTTGTTCATGGAGCTGTTTTTGTTTTTAAATTTCAGCTGCAGTTTTCTTGCACTCTTTCCCAAGCACCTGCTCTTTTGTTTGTTCTCAATGTTCCACTGCAGTGAGCTAAACAAGGAATCTTATTTTATGTTATGTGGCTTTCTTTTCTCTATTTAGTGACCCAGAAGAGATTAGAAATGTAAAACAGTCCAAGGGACAGGAAACAAAGAGGCAACTTCAGATTTACTATATCTTGCTAGTTCTTTATACCAGGGAATTAATCAATTCATTAAGTTTAGCATTTTTTTAATTCTACAAGACCATTTTTCTTAAATGCTGATGATGCAAAGGAAGAGTTTTTTCAGGCAGTACTCCTGACCCGTATGTCATTCAAATGGCAATTTTGTTGTCCTTAAGTAGTTCCAAAGGGCAGAATATGTTCCTTACTGGTTTTTATAGCATGCATGATCACATCTAGGTTCATGACCCTGGATGCGCAGGTCCATTCATTCAGTGGTTTGCTTTTTAAAAAATGGAATCAGTGCATAACTCAAAAGGTAAATGGCCTGCTTAATTTTAAAGCTTATATTGGTGTCAGGAAGAGATGTTGTTTGCCTGAGTGAAGCAAAATGCTTTCAAGATATATGGGTAGGAATTGCAACTACTGTATATTTTTTTAATCCAAGTAACAGATTCAAATGGATTAGGGCAGGAGTTTCCCCAAACTAAGGTCTGTGGGCCAGATGTGGTTCTCCAAGGTCATTTACCCTAAACTTAGGGTCACCCTAAGTCTGAAATTACTTGAAGCCACACAACAAGAACAATCCTAGTTAATTTGGATTGTTTTCAGCTGCCCTGGGGACTAGGACACAGAACAATGGCTTCAAACTATAAGAAAGGAGAACATTAGCAAGGRCTTCCTGACTGTGAGAGCTGTTCAACAGTGGAACTCTCTGCCCCATAATGTGGYGAAGGTTCCTTCTTTGAAGGCTTTTAAGCAGAGGCAGGATGGCCATTTGTCGGGGGTGCTTTGAATGCGATTTTCCTGTTTCTTGGCAGGGGGTTGGACTGTATGGCCCACGAGGTCTCTTCCAACTCTATGATTCTATGATTCTATGACAATCTCATGAGCCAAAAGCAGGCCTACACTTCCCATTGAAATACTAGTAAKTTTGTAATCRATTCACTAGACAAATTGGCCCTTCGACCCATAACTTAWTCTTAGGCTCTTCYACTTTACTATTGTCCCTGCCCCTGTAGTTGTAGAACACTAATTCGACTTGGCCCTTYCYGCCCTAACTTATTATCTGGTTCTTAAATTGCTCTATCAGCCCTGTCCTTGCAGTTGTATTGCACAGGCCCTTGCCTTGCTGCTTAGTTTTGAAATGTCTACTATGCTCAGCTACTTGTTGTATGATAAATTATGTTTTTAATTTATGTTGTATATGTATTTTATTGTTTATATTTTAACTCTGTTTGACTGGGCTTGGCCCCCATGTAAGTCACCCCGAGTCCCTTCGGGGAGATGGTGGTGGGATGCAAAAATAAAGTTATTATTATTTGAAACATAACAAGATGAGTCCACAGCAGATACTCTGCTGGCTGTTGTATTGGATCACACATCGGACACTTCCCAAGTGTCTAGGACTGTGTGATGTATCAGTGAATAATGGTTGCAGATCCCAGTAAGACGGCCTTCTGCAGCTGGCAGATGGTAATTTTGTCAGCACCAAGGTCATTAGGCACTGCACCCAGTGTGCCGGTCACCACTGGGACCACCTTGACTGGCTTGTGCCAGCGTCTTTGCAGTTCAATCTTTAAATCCTCATATCGTGTCAGCTTTTCCAGTTGTTTCTCTTCAATCCTGCTGTCACCTGGGATTGCAACATCAACAATCCATACTTCATTTTTTAACATGATCGTGAGGTCAGGAGTATTGTGCACCAAAACTCTGTCTGTCTGAATTCAGAAATCCCAGATTAGCTTGACGTGTTCATTCTCTGTAACTTTTTCCGGCTTGTGATCCCACCAGTTCTTTGTCACAGGCAGATGGTATTTGTGGCACAAGTTCCAATGAATCATCTGAGCAATGGTGTTATGCCTCTGCTTGTAGTCTGTCTGAGCAATCTTCTTGCAGCAGTCCTATTATTATTATTATTATTATTATTATTATTATTATTATTATTGTGTTGGTTGAAATTGTTCTTCTTTTTAAATTTTGTATTGCTCTTTCACGGTTTTTTGCACTACAAATAATATATGTGCAGTGTGCATAGGAAGTTGGGTTTTTTTCCAACTATAGTTGAGCCCCTCAACAGTCCGTTGAGCCCCTGAACTGGCCCTCTGCTTAAAATGTTTGAGGATCCCTGGGCTAGAGCATTGATGAAGACTGTAGAAATTGAAATGTGACTGGGTGTTATATGTTTCACAACTTCATTTATGAGGAGAACATACACAGGGACAAAAATGTAGTATCTCTTTTAAGTCAGCAGAGATCTGCAAGGGAGATCTCTAAGTGCAGAATTGTAACAGATCAGAATGATGAAAGTGCAGTTAGAAATGGCAGTTTCCATATCTGTAAATATCCCAACTTTCTAAAAACCTTTGTTCTTTAATTCTGACTTTTTATAGAAAAGAAAACACATAGTTGTGTAAGGGTAAAAACAGCAGAAAAGCAGATCTGAAACAGTTGCTTCTGGAATTGTGCCTCATGCTAACGCAATGCCTTTCTTACCATTTTTGTCTTTTGTTCTTTCTTCTTGCTCTGCAATGCAAACAGTTGGATGCTTGTCCAGGAAAGAGTTGGGCACCTTGAGAAACCTTTCCGGATCTTCTTGGAATATACTCCTAGTGGGAACAGAAGTGTTGCTGCCATCGATTCATTTGCAATGAAGAACTGCAGCATAGGTAAATGTTTTTTTTGTTCATTGTAATGTATTCGCTCAATCTGAAATTTCTAGTATAAAATTCTGATTATATAAATGCTTGGAACTTTCTCCATTTAGAGTCTTCATCGTAATCTCAGCTCCACCACTCCTTGTATATCAGTGTTTTCAAAACAAGACTTGATTCTGATTCCAAAATGGTGCTATTTTGGGTTTTTTATGTTTTATATTTTTGGATTTGTTTAGAGTTTTAATTGTTTTTATCTGCTTTACCTTTCTAATTGCTGTAGCTTTAGTGTCAGGTGTTATTTGATTTCATCAGTATAGAAAGGCAAGGCAGAAATTGTTGCAACAAATAATGAATATCCATAGGTAATCTCATCTCACTGGTTCAGATTGTTTCATCAGATACTATCGATGATCTGGAATATTTTATTCCCTTTCCATGACAATTCCCCTTCAAGCATCTAGCATTATACAAAGATCTTCAATTTCTCACCTTTTTTTGGATATTCTTTTTTGTGCCATACAGCTCATTAGTCTTTTTATAGAGCTGCCATTTTGTCTTGTCTGCCACATTCCACATTATTCACACTTTGAAGACCTGAAATATTAACTATGTATTCACAATGAGACATCTTGTAAAGAAATTCTTCCCAGCTTCTATAAGGAGACAAATGTCAGTGGTTTTTTAAATCATGTCAGAAGCGACTTGAGAAACTGCAAGTCACTTCTGGTGTGAGAGAACTGGCCGTCTACAGAGATGTTGCCCAGGGGGACACCCAGATGTGTTATCATCCTGTGGGAGGCTTCTCTCATGTCTCTGCATGGGAAGCTGGAGCTGATAGAGGGGAGCTCACCCCATCTTGCAGATTCTAACCACTGACCTTCAGGTCAGCAGTTCAGCTGGGGTTTAACCCATTGCGCCACCAGGGCTCCTAATATCAGTGGTGAACATAGCAAAAGTGAACTGGTTCATAATGCTGTTACAAAATAGGTGGAATTTTAGGGCTCTAGAAAACACATGAACACAAAAACAGTGTTCATAATTGAATTATTGGGTATAGTTTCAAGACTTGCAACAGGAATATTACATTCATAATTTACTAAAACTTTTTCTTATTCCATTGAATGTCTCTGTCTGTGAGAAAAATGCCACTAGGTAATGCTGAATAAGGAAATTATGGGAATCTGTACCAGAGATTCTTCTTGAGAACGTTAACCTGAGGAAAATTTCTAACCCTGAATGAATATTACATAGTTTCTCAATTTTCTTGTATTTCTGATAATAATGTCAGAACATCTATTTTTTGCCCCAAGTTCCTTCCCACCCCAACAGCATCATGAAGATATTTGTATAAAGTTTAAAATGTAAAGGGAACCTGTGAATTAAACTGTGCACAAAACCATATTATGAAGGTATATTTTGCATATTTGCACCAGTACTATGAAGTTTTTTAAATGAGTATTCCTTTCAGTGACTTTTTAAACCCAAGGCTTCACAAAAAAGCAGATGAAGAAATTATGAGCAGGGTGGAAATATGGCTTTTGAAAAAGGTGTTTTGAAAGACAGAATAATCTCAGCCTGTATGAACATTATCTAACTAACTAATGCAAAAGGCCATAGAAGTAACCTTTCATCAAGCAGTGTCTCAAGAAAATGACCTTTTGAATTGGAGATGTGTGCTGTTCAGTGATGTCAGTTTTTGGTTACACAAAATAAATTTTAACTTCCAGAAAAGAAGCTCTCACAAGTCATAATTAAAATGCGCTGCACAGTTCCATTTTTTCACTTTGCCAGATTTTCTCTAGTAAGAAAAAAGATGGAAGATATGATATGTTTAATGGTTTTAGTTATTTTAATTTAAAGTTATATGTTAGTATTTAGTTATTATGATTTTTTCCCTTTCTACATATATGTTAGCATTGAATTTTTGCCATTAATACGTTGTAAACCACCTTGAGTTCCCCCAAGGGGTGAGAAAGGTGGTACATAAATATAGTAAATAAATAAATAAATAAATCAGGAAAACTTCTGCAAATTGAAGCCAACAATATACGCGCCACCATGAAATTTTAATGGCAATTGCACAATAAAGGTCTCAGACACACACACACACACACACACACACACTGTTTCAACTAATGGGTGGCTAGTACTGTGTTTTCAAGTGCCATATGTTCAAGACCAAAGCAATAAAATCAAAACCAGAAAGACAAGACTGTCATTTCAGATCCATAAAAGAGTGTCCCAACTGCATCATTACAAGTTTTGCATATTAACTTTTACTATGACACATATTGGATGATACAAACAAGTAGATATGGATTGGTGCAGAAGGGAGATAGCTGATGGATGTGTTTATCCCTGCCTGCATTCTTTCCTGAAAATGACTTACTTGGACTCAGACATATGTATGCTAGAAATATTTCTCCTATACTTCTGGATCTGGAAAGTTCCACTTCTGTCATTTTTTTTACCTCACAATGTGTGAAATAAACAGAGAGCCACAGAACTGGGACAGGGAGGGAGAGGAACCCTATTAAAATCAGTGTTTGAAAGCTCATTGTTATTCCTGTTGGCAGGAATGCATCTTGGACTTCAAGAAGCCTTAGTAGAATTGTGCTGTACAATCTCAGGGTGCTCCTGCTTCAGAACTTAAAAGATCTGGTACCTTTGAAAAGTACTTGAGGTTAAAAAAAACAAGGAAACAAGAATGATTCACTGATGAACTGACTCAGATTTAGGACATGAGTACTATGTTTGTTGAGCACCTTTGAATGTGCTATAGATAAACAGCTGGTTGTATTCAGATTTGAGGGTTCTTTGTGATAGGAACATGGTGACTAAAAGCTTGGGGAGGGGAGAGTGATGCAATACAAAAATTTCATATCACCTAAAGGGAGGTATTTTTATGGGTTCAGGAATTCTGGGACACTACAGAAAGCCCAGTGAAGTTACTATGTAGTAGAACCATATATCCGTACTAGTCAACTCATATTTCCATTTTAGATAAAGGACCTCCTCACACATGCCGCTGGAATGGCTGAGTATTACCACAGATTGTTGTGATACTGTTGGCATCAGCTGGGGGTGTGGGGACCTATTGTCCTCATGCCCCGCACCATCCTAGCTTCCCCGCATCTCAACCTGAAGCCTCGGGAAACCTGTTCAACCCATCTTTCTCTATGGAAAGATGGGAAGCCTTCCATTATGGCTGTTGATTTTTATTTTTTTTTTGTGGATGAAGGGGGTTTGTCCCACTTTCACCATGGATCTGCCCAGGAAGTACTTTTCTGGTGTGTGATAGGATTAGGCAGGCACTGTGGCAAAGCAGCAAAAAACCCCATCTCCACCACCAATTTTTAGCCTATGTGAAGAGGTCCAAATTGTTGTTGTTGTTGTTCATTTGTTCAGTCATCTCCGACTCTTCGTGACCTCATGGACCAGCCCACGCCAGAGCTCCTTGTTGGCCGTCACTACCCCCAGCTCCTTCGAGGTCAGTCCAGTCACTTCAAGGATGCCATCCATCCATCTTGCCCTTGGTCGGCCCTTCTTCCTTTTGCCTTCCACTTTCCCCAGCATAATTGTCTTCTCTAGGCTTTGCTGTCTCCTCATGATGTGGCCAAAGTACTTCAACTTTGTCTCTAGTATACTTCCCTCCAATGAGCAGTCGGGCTTTATTTCCTGGAGGATGGACTGGTTGGATCTTCTCGCAGTCCAAGGCACTCTCAGAACTTTCCTCCAACACCACAGTTCAAAAGCATCTATCTTCCTTCGCTCAGCCTTCCCTAAGATCCAGCTCTCACATCTGTAGGTTGTGAGAAATAAAGCCTTTGTGCAGTTGGGAGAGAGAGACCCACTCGTCCTTCTGTTAGGCTTCCAACAGTGAGACTGAAAAAAGTCCTCCTTTCCCTCCAAAACCCTGGGGGAAAGGGCAGGTCTAAAGATTCTAATGATGATTGGCAGGTAGCTGGACCTACGACTGCAACCTGAGAGAAGCTATCTTATTGCAGAATGCATGGCTTAAATAGATTAATGCAAACTAGCAGTGCAAGAAAAAGAAATTCAAATCTCCTGGCACTGCCGTGCAGCACATAAACTGTACCTATTAGGGTATCCCTCTATCTCGACCCTAGATAGGATGCATTTGTCAGAGAATATTGTGTCCTGCAGGACATGGTGATGTTTCGTATGTGTTCCAAAATCAACTGATATGAAGTCAAACCTGCAGGAACATTACAGTATTTTCTTTGCTTTATTTCTGCATCTTTTCCCCCTCTGTTTGACATCAGTAAGATTATAGTTTGCATCATATATAGCTGAGTTTTACTTCATTGTAACTTCCAATGTGTTTTGGATCAAGCCTTCAACTTAATTAATTTACTAAAGACATAGGATGATAACAGAGCATAATGCTTTGGGGTATATAAGGATTCTACAAGTAAAATCTCATAATGTACAGTATGTTTAAAAAGCACAATAGAAAGTATATTGCATGGTAACAACATACAGCCAAATACCAATTGTATCTAAACAGCTTTTGCTTTAATTTATTTTTTTCCTTTTCTGAAGAAAAAAAAGGTACCCTTCCATCCTTTTTTATGGGCAGACCCTAGCCTAGCAAAAGATATTTCAATGCCTACTTCATATTTTTTTAAGGGATGGCTATTTTCTGACATGTCATCCACTAATACGTGAACCCAGAGCAAAGAATTTGCTAACCACTTTTCTGCCATTATAATTTGTAAGTGACATTATTAATAGTCACCCAATAATTTTCCCTATTCCACCAGCTCAGTAATTGGTACAGCAATATTTAGTAATTGATGGCAATTTCTAGTAATAAAAGCTGAGTTCATTTCCTGAGTAATGTATTGACTTATTAATGGCATTTAATGGTTTTCTTACTAATACTTTCTTTCATCTTTGAGTAATTAATTTACTAAATTATTTCACACAAAAAAAACCCTTAATTAAATTAAAGTACATAGTAATAAGCACAACTAAATGATAAGTAA